AATTAGTCTGTATCACACTGCTTAATCAAATCCTAATAGCTGTGTGGCTGGTAAAAGTCTGACTCCTGCCCACCTGCAAATGTGTGTCGCTCACTCTGCATTGTGCTTTGTGCCTCAGCTTGCTGGCAGCTGAGTACGAGTTAGCAGGGAGATATGACTCCAAGAGCTGGCAGTCCTGCAGCCCCAACAGTGCAGTGCTGGGCTGGCAGATGCCTCAGGACATAGGTTGGTGCTGGGGAGGCTCAGGAAGGTGCAGGCAAGTAAGCAAGGTTTACACCATGGAGTCAGTATGGAGCTGGCAAGGACCACAGGCAAATAGCACTCTGCTGATGAGAGCAGGGGTTGCAGCTTCTTTAACACTTGCCAAAGGCCGGGATGTTACATTGAACAAAACCAACTAAGATCTGCCTGTGTTCCAGAGAAAGCACCAGAAGCTGTTTGCTGGCTTCCTAAAGCTGGTGCCTTCCCATCTGGACAGGGCATGCAGGTGGTCCTGGGCTTCCTCTGTCCCAGTGAGCTGGTCCCCAAGCCCTGTCTCTGCAAGGGGAGCTGGGAATTAAGCCAGGCAGAGTAAGGAAGGTGTAGCACGGGAGTGGGTGAACGGGTGCCTTGTCCTCCGCACCCTGGCTTACCCCCAGACCACAGCAAGGAGAGAGACAGGTCATGCCAGGGCAAGAACAAAGCCCATGGCTCATCTTCAAAGAGGAAGAGGTTCAATAATACCTCCCAGCCCAAGATAATGAGAGGAGGGATGCCATGCTGGAGAATTGATGGCAGTAGTTAATTACACAGCTTGGTGAGGAATGGAGAAAAGGAACTGCAGGATGGAGGTGCCATACTGCCCTATGTGCTGGCACTACATTTGCTGATTCAAGCTGAAGTGAATTTCTTCAGCCTCTTCACTCCAGGTACCTGGCATAGTGTAGGCTCCCACCTCTCGTCTGCACTAGCTGCAGAAGGAACAGCCACGCAGCAAACCATCCTCTGAGGCCAATGCTACAGCCCTCAGTGCTGAACAGAAAGTGCCTTTGCTCTGTGGAGACCTTTTTGGTGAGCCAAGAGCAAGCCTATCTGTCTTTTCCAGCAAAAGGCAATGGCTGGAGCAGGAGTGCTTTGGAGGGCACACTGGACTGACACTATCAATGACCCATGAGCTGCACTCAGACAACCAGTGTACCCAAGAGAAAAGCATCCCTGCATAGTCACATCCTGAGATAGCTTTGTAGCGAAGGCAGGCTTGAAGGAGCCTGAGGCTGCCCAGCCGGGGCTGGCGAAAGGAAACAATGCCACCAAGCTGGGATGAGGTGCAGAAGGGGAGTGGGATTTCCCGTGTCGGCATTCATAGAAGTCCCTCAATTGTGTCTGCTCACAACAGGCAACTGAGGGGCCGGTTGACTGCTTCCTGCTTTGGAGCAGCCGGGAAGCACATCCAGCTGTGGCCAACAGCTGCACAAATTCCTCCTGCAGCCCCTAGCCTTGGGGATCAAGGATACAGTCTTACTTGTCTGCGATCCCACAGCTCTAGGGCTTGGCCGCTGTTGCCTTCCCACACAGCCCACAGTTCCACAGCCCATTCCCAAGAGGCAGATGGGAATGCAGTGAGTATAGGCACGGATGGCGTTAGTTTGCCAGTATTAGCACCTAACACGGGTGTGACGCTCAGATTTAACTATGGGGTGGGGAGGACAGCACAAAAGGGCTCTACAGGAGTTCTTGGCACTCGTGCCTGGACCAGGCTTTCCATCAGCGTTGATGGTTTGCTCAGAAATGGAAAGAAACTCATTCACTGAAATCTTCCATAGCATCCCAGAGCTAACGGGAGCATTTTCTTGAGCAGGACCTGGAGCAACCCAGGGCCAGCAGTTTTTCTGCCAGACAAGGAGGCTCTGCCCCGCTTCTCGCACAACAGCACATGGTACCCTGCCCCCGCACCTGCCAGCGGGTCCTCACAATATCTGCCGACTGCGGCATGCTGGCAGACACCGTCGTGCACATGGGCGAGAGCTCGGCAGGGATGTGCATTTCTGCAGCCGGAGGACCGCCGCACACACCCCTTGGAAAAGCCCAGCGTCCCAGGTATCAAAGCATCACTGCACTTGGCATCCCCAGAGCCCCATGCTGGACGCTCCACTTCGCATCCCCAAAACCACATGCTCTCCCTGCAGCAGTAACTATGAAAGGGGATTTGGAGTTGCCGTTCAAGGTAGCAAGGAAGAAAATCCTCCGTCCCAAAAAGCAGCATCTAAGCATCATACCCGCACACCCCCACTTCCGAGCGCGAATTGCCCGCCGCCTTCCCCCACGCTCTGGCGCCGGGTCTGAGACTGGAACACCCGCCCGCTCCTCGAGGCGTCCCGGAGAGGAACCACGCACCCGGCAGCTTCGAAAATCCGCGAGGAGCCTCGGAGGGAAGTCGGGATGGCCAAAAGCTCGGCGGCGACTTTGAGCCAATACCTTGAACGCGGGCGCCTACCGCTGCCCCCCGCTGCCTGCCGGCTTCCGGGCCTTCTGTCCCGGTCGGATGGAAAACCACCGCCTCCCTCCCGCTCTGTAAACTCCTCCTCCGCTTTTTGCCGCCTCAGTGCCACGCGGTCCCCGCGTGGAGAGGCGGATTTTCCGGACTCCCGCCCCCTCCCGTTCCCCTCGCCCCTGGAGAGAAAGGTAAGAGGAAACCGCGACCCCTGCACGGGCAGCCGTGCGCGCCTCAGGCTGAACCCACCTGCGCCGCGCTCTCTGCACCGCCCCGCGTTCTGCTGCCGTCCCTTCTCCCGGCTTTGCCCGCCCCTGGCTCCCCCCCTTTCCGCGCCTACCGTGTCTCCACGCCCCGCAGCTGGCGGGAAACCCCCCGGCAGCTACCGAACCCTCCCCTCCGTAACTCCGGAGCTGCACCCAGGGACGGATTTGCGTTAATATCTTAGGCATTAGTAAATATTAAAGCTCTAAAGGAGCTATGCATTAAATCATGGCTCTAACTGGAGTGTGAACTGGCCCTATTTGCCAGGTCCCTCTCTTGTCCCCCATGCTGCGTTCTAATCCAGACAAAAACCCTCTGCTGGCAATCACCACTTAAGGGTGTAGTATGTATACATATATATATGTATACGTATATGTGTATGGATGGGTGTATATATACACACATATGCATACACACACGTATATAAATATATATGTGTACACACACCTATACACACATACGTACATGTGTGTATATACATATGTATATATGTAAAACTGTCTTGAATTAGCGATCTAGTGGGTGACATCCTTGCCCATGGCAGGCGGATTGGAACTAGGTGATCTTTAAGGTCCCTTCCAACCCAAACCATTCTGTGATTCTATGAGTAGGATTACAGACAGCCTTTTTCGATGCGTACTCGGGGCGGCACTACCAGGATGGCAGGCAATGTGTAGAGCCCTCTGATACTTAACAATTCCCCTGTATTCAGAGGATATAAATACCATGTGTATGCAATATCCAAAGGGCAGGCACGAATTCTAAGATATGCTTTTTAAAGTTGCCGTCTCCAGGCTCCTATCAGTCTGGAATAGATATCTACTCTCCGCTGTGATAAAAACCTGTTGTTTCGCTTAAGTGTGGACGTGCAGGAGTCCTTTGTCCAGGGTACTTTGTCCCCCAGCAAAGGGAAGTGCACCGAGTGCACCTGAATTCAAGTTCATATCTGTGCAGTTAAAACAGCCACAGAAACATTTTTTTTATAAAGCTGGATGTTTAAAGGTTCCTCCACCAGGAACACAGGGCCCTCCTGGCTCTCTCCATTCACCTCTGCTGTGCGGCCACAGGCAGCAACACCAGGAAGTCCCTGCAGCAGCTTTGACCATGAAAACACTTGTTCCATTAATAAACAATCTCGGAAAATTCTCTGCAGATGGCGATCAGTTTGGGTTAGAAATTAAAACCAGAAGTTAAAACACTCCCGAAAGCTCTGGCAGATTCCCATCCTCACGATCTTTCAGCGCAATGATCTCTAACACACGTCTCCCTGCAGAATCCAAGCACCAAGCTTGTATTTTAAGACAGACCTACAAAACATTGCCACATAAGCAAAAAGTCCTTAAGGTCCAAGAAAAAGGCAATGGGAACAGGGCTGAGACAGCTACCAATGCTTTCTGAGCTGCAACCATGACACTGCAGAGTGTCACCCTCAGGAAGAGACCTCTTCACTGCTCTGCTTGGTAACAGACTCTGCAGCTGGATCTCTCCCACTGTGCTTCTGGTAGATATTTGTCGTGGGCTTCTGGAATCAGCAGGGTGCATTAAAAACATGAAGTGAGCACCAGAAATGTTGTCAGACAGTAAGACAGGAGGCTCTTTTCTTAAATGTAAGATTCATATCAGATAAAATTAAATTTAAAAGCTCTCATCTCCAATTAAAGCTCCTTCTGAGTCCCCCAGGCAATGATGGATGCAAGCCCTGGGCCTGCCTTTCCTCAGCCCATTTTTCCTAAGCCATTCTGATCTGGAAGGTCTTCTAGTTAAGCTGCAACAGAGACAAAACCTCTCCTCTGTCCACTCGCCTCACCTTGTCTCTACTCTCCCACCTCCTATCTCCTCTCTCCTCTGCAAAAACCAAATAGAAAAGCAAGGTTGCCTGCTTCAGCATGTCTCACGTCACCTCCTCTCTAGCTTTGACATGTACCACACTGTCACCCACAGAGGCCCTCAAGCCCCCTTGGCAGTCCCTGGGACATGGATGCCATGGCACCTTGGGCCCCATGTTTCTCCTCGGGATGTCCACACTTGCTGCTTAGCAGCATGAGCTAAAATTTGAGCATCTCTATAATTTTATTTTTCTACATAAGTTCCAACTTTAGAACAGGCTAAAAGCTATGAGAACAAATTACCCCAGGAACTTGAGCACAGGGTCCAGAGTGGTGGTGCCCAGCCAAAGTGCCACTGTGCTTTCAGAAACCAGGACAAGGCTCTGCATCATTATAGCCTCAGATCCTATCCCTGGGAGGAGAAACACCACAAAATTTACCTTTGAGTAGATAATTCCAGGAAGTCTCCACTTCAGGACAGGGTGGGTGTAGCCACTGCCTCACCCCAGGCTTTCAGCAGCAGGGTGCATAGCACTTACCATCACCAAAGTACGGGATTAAATGTTCTCTAATTCACAGCTCTGGTCCTGTCTGCACAGCGGTTCCCCCAAGCACTGGAATCAACATCCCTCAATAGAGATGTCTCTCACTGGAGACAGGGGGTTTGAAATCCATTAGCACTGAACAGAGTCTCAGCCACCAGTGACCGCAGGCAGACAGGAGGCCAGCAGATGGACCCGAGGGGAGGCTGGAGAAAGGCAGCTTCCAGCTCTTAAGTACAGCACGGGCTGCCGGCTGCTTCTCTGCACAGACCTGCGTGCCCACCCACCACTGACTTGCAGGACAGGGTTTAATGATGTCTTCTTTCAGGCAAGCGGGAGACCAGGAGTGAGCAAGACACTGTGGGGTGAGGAAGGCTAAGGCTGGAAGAGCGTGAGTGTCCTTTGAAATCCAACCCTGGCTGGTGCAGGACAGTAGACATCTCGCTCAAGGTTCTCTTCTCAGGAGAGGCACTTCAGCCCCTCGGGGAGCATGTCTGCTCTCAAGAGCAATGCAGGTCCTTGGGCTGTGTAATGCCAATGGCAGCATGCAGTCGCAGGGGGCAGACACCTCCTCTGCAAGGGAAGGTAACAAATCGCACAGCCAGTGACAACTCATTTATTGCCCCACTAACACAAGCCCTTGCTGCAGGGCCAAGCTGCCTTGCTTCATCTTGATGAAGTGTGTTGCCTTTGCAAAGCCCTCTGCTCCCAAGTGACTCTCATGTTATCATCTTCACCTCTGTGTGTACAAAAACAAACCTCCTAGAAGAAACAAACAGCTACAAAAACAGTTTCTGCTCCGAAACTGGAAACAGCTGTGCTTTGCCCAGCACTGGTACTGGGCCCACCACTGTACAGGACACACAGCTAGATGTTTCTCCCCTGTGTAATTTGGGCAAGGAGAAAAGGCAGCCTTGAGTGGGGCCCGGGGACTTGCATTCCCACCCTCTCCATCTCCAAAACAGCAACATGGTGCCAAAACGCTGCTGCTGTTGGCAGATTGCTGTGCTCCCCAGAGTAAAGGGAGAAGGCAAAGCCCTGCTTTCCGGGAGGACGGCAGCCAGCAAAGCCTCTCCCTTACATAAGACTGGGAGTCCCACGGACATGCTTCCCAGGACATGTTGATGGGGCTCAAGCTGCCCAGCCCTTTGAGTTTTCTTCGGAGACCTCAAACGTGCGCTGCAGGAACTGCGTTGCTGTCACCTGGAGCCCACAGCTAGTTTGTAACTGGCAGAACAAACAGGCCAAGTGCTAAAGTGCTCTCCCTTCAAAGACACTTGCTGCCAAACCTTTCACAAAAGCTGCTTCCCCCCCTCCCCCTTGTAGCAATTGCTTGCTTTAACTAAGCTATGAAATCCAAAAGGGGAAAACAAACAAACAGCTGGTTTTGAAAGCAAGAGCAAAAAGGGAGATTTATTCCAGGCAGTGGATAAAGCATCACATGAGCTAAAGGAATATTTTCGGTGCCTCTTGGGCAATATTTGAGTTTTAGACCCTGAGGAGCTAGCCAGCATTTGCAGGCACTTAGTGTTTCCAGAATCCTTTACACTTGGCACCCACGTCGACCGTTTTCCTTGGAGATTTGCAAGCACTTTGCAACCATACATTAATTAACCCACCATCCCTCCTCTGCAGTGAAATTTCCTTTTCCCTCTAATGTGCCTGTGCCAGAGGCAAGGGAAACTGAGGCATGGCTAGGCCATCGACCTGCAGCAGGGCTTAGGTCAGGGGCTACATGCTGTCCAGTTCTCCTTTGCATTGCAAAACATCCTTCCCTTTGCATGCATGACCCACAGAAGCAGCATTTCCCTACATCGGGTGCTGCCCACACCATTTTGGAGGGAGGCATGGACAACTCAGCTCAGAGAGCCTCTGCGCCATGGAGCAGAGAAACAGAGAGCCAGTGTGTTTAAAAGGCAGGGCAGGCAGGCAGGAGTGGAGTGGCAAGCAGATTAGCAGCTGTGTCTGATTCTCTGCACGTGTGACAAGGCAGCAGGGCACAGCCATATTGGGAAAGGGGGAGAAGGGGGCATTTTAATCGGTCACATGGAGGGAAACACAGAAGATGCTGGACCTCTGTCAAGTGCCAGCAGGTTATTAACCTATTAGCCAATGGGGTAAAAAACCACTACAGGCTCCTGTGAATCCAGTTATAATGAGACTACAATGATCCTGGATTCTTTGATAGTCAAAAAAAGCATCTCAGCCTGTTGCCAAGATCAGCGAATGGCTCAGGGACTATTCTAGTTTGGCTGTTTCCTTGCTGGTCCTGGCTGAAGAGCTGCTGGCAGACCCTTTTTGAGGGTGGGTGTTCTCTGGCTGCTGCTTGCAGGACTCCTGATAGTTACCCCCCAGGATTTTGGTGCCCTGCCCTGTGTTTCAGGATGAGGTGGCAGGGCAGAGGTGATTCTCACCTGATGGCCTGAGCCTGGCTGGGAAAGGAGTGGGCTGCAATACCCTCCTGAGCTCTGCCTGTGGCACAGATATCCAGCTGGCACCTCACCGCTTGCAGGGAGCCACGCAGACCTTCAGCACCCCATCGTCCCTCTGCTTCCTCACGCAACCCGACCTGCCGGGATAAAGTTAGGCAGCTGCCTGTGATTTCTTTATTACTGGGCTGAGGGCAGCAGGAGCTTGCTGCCAGTAGAGGAGCAGCCCCGGGTGAAAACCTGTAAGGAGAGGCAGGGGAGAGGGAGGCACCTGTTGCCAATCAGCCCCCCCACCTCCCCATGCTAAGCATCCTCCCCATGCTGGTAGCACTGAGATGCAATGGGGTGACACTGCTACTCCTGAAGCACTCACAGCTCCAGTGAGCAAACAGCCTGGAGACATGATAAGGAAGGGCCTCCATTGAGCGCGCCTCCAGCCCGGTGGCGGTGGCAGGGCCACGGGTGTTTTCCAGCTGGGCAGGCAGAAACAAAACCCATTGTCCCCTGATTCCACACAGCTCAGTAAGGGGCCGGGGTGCCCAGAGGGCTCCTGGGGCCTGGCATGGACAATGGGGTCCAGTTAAATTCCAGCCCCCTCTCAGGCTGCTGAAGGAGGTGGTGGGAGTTCCTGGTGCCCAATGGAGCAGCATCATCTTTGGGACATGGGGCATCTCCCAGCTGGCAGGCTAGGGACACACAAGCCACCCTGCCCAAGCCACTGCTGAGGGTCTCCCACTCCCACCACCTCCTGGGTGCAATCCTCCCCAGAGCAATCCCTCTATCCTTCATCCCCACTCCTCTGTCTCCCTCCCTGTACTGCTGCTGCCCTCTCCTGAGCCCCAGCTACCCATTTGCTGACTCCTACAAGCATGAAAGCAGTAAATACTGCCTAATGACACCAATTAGCTGTGAAGTTGCTTTGTGGCTAGTTATTGAGTGACAGCCACCAGCCAAAGGTAAAATGTTACTCTACAGCACACAGTTTCCACCTGCCAGGGCCCGAGCTGAGGCCTGAGTAAACTCAAAACACACAGGCCAGGCTCCCAATCGTACCAGAGGAGACAGGCAGGAACACTCTGTGGCATTCAGAAATGGTAGTCCTGGGGCACAGGCCACTCCAAGCACCAGTGTCACTCTGTCATGGTGTCACACCAGGTCTCCTTGGCAGAGGATGGAACTGGTGTGGGCAGAGGGACCCACATTATAGTCAAGGTCATCTGGCCCATTGAAGCAGTGCCGGGGGCACATCCTGCTCCTTAGCTGGCAGCACCAGTCTCCCACGACAGAGCACAGCCATTAAGGAAGGAGCTGGCTGGCACTCAGCCACACTCGTAAAACACCACAGGGGAGCTGTGGGCTGCTGGGAATGAGGGAACCTGGCCAGAGGAAGAGGGATAGCAGCCACTGTGTGGTCCTGTTACCCCAGTCTGCAAAGCCCATCCACACCCCAGTGGAGCACGGTGCCCAGCAGCTCCCTGGATCTCATCTAAAAGGCAGAAGATTACTTTCTGGAGGATGGGTGAATCCCAGGCTCAAAGGATAGCCTGAAGCCATGGCTCCCCATCAGCCTTCCCAAGGCACCTTGGTGGCAGCAGGCAGAGCCATGCTCCGGCTGTCAGAGAGTGCTGCTGCAGCTGGTGGCTGCCCATCCCGCGTGGCAGTGCAGGGCCAAGGCACCTGCCTGTTCTCCCATCCAGCCTGCTCCCTGGGCAGGCTCTGTGGCCACTGGCACCACGGGGACTATGGCACATGGCCACCTGCAGAGACAAGGGCTCCAAACACAGGCCCAGGAACTCTCACAGCCATGCCAGCCCCGTGTCTGTCCCTGGCCCGACAGTTGCTGGCTGGAGTGGAGGAATTCCGCTCTGTGCAAACGTCTGGCAGGGCTGACTAAATCCTGTCTGGAGACTAAGCCCATCCTGTCATGCTTTCCCCCTTGGGCAAATCAGCAGCAGAGCTGTGGCTGAATGCTCCCAAACATCCTACAGAGAGGTCTCCAGGAAGGCCCTTTCCCACAGCTTCCAACAGTACCAGCCGTTCATCATTTCCTCTCCTTGCTAGTCATACTTCCACGGATTCCCAAGCCGAGACATGGCCCCCAGGCCATCCGGCAGAACACAGCCATTGGACATCAAAAGAGCGGGCCGAACCCAAGACAAGCGGCCCATCTGTAGCGGATCATCCAAGTACCACTGGGACCGCCCTCTCTCCCTTCCTCAGCCCCTCTGCAAAGCTGAGTGTCCACCCGTGGGCAGAGGATGCTCTAACACGGACCAGGAAGGAGGGAACCCCCGGGGGGTCCTGCACTCCTTAGGCGTGAGGCTGGGAAACACTGCCGGGAGCCTGCAGTGCCCCGTGCTCACGCTGCAGGGGGAGCCCGTCAGAGTTCGGCTGTCCCCTGAGGGGGGGAGGTTCTGGCTCCTGGCCCCCTCCCGTTCTCGCTGCAGAGCTGCCCGACCCCCGAGGGCTCTGCGGGGACCCCCGAGGGCTCTGCGGGGACCCCCGAGGGCTCTGCGGGGACCCCCGAGGGCTCTGCGGGGGCCCTCGCACCCACCGTGCCCCTGCTGCCCCCTGCCGGCGGCGCGGGGCAGCCGTGGGCCCCCTCCCCTCCCGTGACCGGCCAGCACGGGGAGCCCACGGGGAAGGAATTAGCCGGCCCGCGGGCTTAAGCGGCTCCGCGGAATGCGGGAGGGAGTGTGGGAAAGCGGAGGGGGGCGGGGGGAAGGGCAGCAGTGGTGTTCTCCCAGCTGTGGGGAGCGGATGGCTGCTAGGAGAGGGTCCGGCATTCTGGGTAGGGAAGCATCCCACGCGACCCCTCGGGCTAGGGAAGGACGGGCACAGGCCCGAGCGCTGGGTTCACTGTGAGGATAAGGAGGCAGTGAGCTGCAGCAGGGGGATGGGGGCATCACCAGCACTGGGAGCCAAGTGAGCAAAGTGGGACAAGGCAACCCAAAGTGTGAGCTTGTTGTGTGTGCTGTGCTAACTTATGGGGGGAGTGGGGATGAGCGGGAGCCAGGAAATCTGGGAGTAAGCAGGGAAGTCTGAGGGCAGAAGCTCAAGCTGTTTGTTTGAAGGCGGTTTAAAGGAGCAAGGCAGAGTTTGCTTGTAGGTAACACACTGTGCAGAAGGGCGTGGATAATGTTAAGAAGCAGATTTCAGGGTCAGGGTGGATCACATGAAGATACAACACAGTGACAGTCACCCTGAACACAATACCTGTCCTGTAGGGCTGTGCTTGCTGCTCAGCTGTGGGCCACAGAGAAAGGGGTCCTGGCTACTCCTCTGAGAACTCTGAATTTTATAGGGATGGAATGGGATGGGGAAAGGCATGAGGTGCACCTCCTCAGCATAGCTTAGTTCTCAAAAGGCAGCTTGCCAGCTTCTTCCCTTGTCCTGGACTATAAGGCATCCAGGAGCGCCTTTGTACCACTGGCCAAGTGCTTCAGGGACAAGAGGGGTTCCTGTCACTACCTTTCCAGGGGCTCATGGCCTCAGCCTGACTCCATACTCAGCTGATAAGGACTCAGTCTCTGGGGAAACAGCTTGTTCTTCTAAGGCTGCTGCCTAGACACTGTAAATCTTTCTGGCAAGCCAGAAGACAAAAGTCAGCCCTGACTACAGTGGTGGCTGGCTTCCTAAAAAGACCCCCCTCTGAGGAGAAGCTGCAGACAACCTACTCCCTGTCTTCTGTACTCTCCCCACAGAATCTGCCACCTCCAGAGGGTGCAAGCAGATGGAAAAGTCTCACCTGGTTTTTGCTAGTGCTGTGTCCCGGGATTGAAGAGCTGGGAAGCTTCACAGCAGAGCTGAGCTGCTGTGCAGTGCCCAGCAGTACTGCTGCTGGTCCTGCTTTGTATCTGCAGTCATGATGGTGCTGGGCTCCCTGCAAAAAGCCAGGCTTCTCAAGAAGAAAAAGAGCTCCACAAAAGCCTAGCTTCCCAGAGAGCCCTGGAGTGGCTTGTTGCTGATGGTAGCTCAAGGGCTGCCTGCTCTGATGCAGGACAGGCTGCTCTGCC